CACACTGCCCTGGCACTGGGGGATAGATGCCCAGTCCCATGGTGCATGATCACTAAATCTATCCAATCTGGTTTTTAGTGGGACATATAATCTTCAGTGCTTTCTGCTTTCTGGCTGCCTACATCTGTGGTTGCAAGTTACATTACATAAGTTTACATATAAAATGTTATATATATATGTAAAATATTATATTATATATTTATCACCACAGGTGATTTCAATGATGAGGTAGGTTTAGGAACCACAGGCGGAGTAATTTGCCATTCAGGCAAGGCAAGACTGTGGCAGCAAATAAATTAGCATAATCTGAGAAGACTATCAGACTATCAACTATATATATGTAAGTCTTAACTCCCAGTATCTGTGAATGTGACCTTATTTGGAAATAGGATTGGTGCAATGTAATTAAATTAAAACAAAGTCATACTGAATTAGAGTGGGACTTAACTCCAGTGATTGGTGTCTTCATGAGAAGTGGGAGGGCCACCTGGGTGACTCATTAGGTTAAGTGTCCCACTCTTGATTTCAGCTCAGGTCATGATCTCATGTTTCATGGGATAGAGCCTCACATTGGGCTGTACACAGACAGCACAGGACCTGCTGTCCGTGGTAGCTATGTTGGAGCAAAATTGTTGCATACTATTGAAATTATTTGGTATTAATCCTAATTATATAGTCTTTAAATTAAGATGTTAATTATAATCTTCATGGCAGTCACTAAGCAAAAATCTTTATAAAAGTATAGGAAACAAGAGAATTAAATGACACTCTATAAAATATTTAATACAAAAAAACAGCGATAGAATATAGGAACAAAGAGACATAAAACATGTAGAAAGTCAATAGAAAATAGGAGATGTAAATCCTACCTTATCAGTAATTACATTAAAAACAAATGTACTTAACATTCATTCAGAAGGCAGAGATGGGAGAATAGATTAAAGAAAATAATCCAAACATATGTTGTCTACAAAAGACACATTAGATTCAAAGGCATAAATGGTTAAAAACTAAAAGACGAAACAAATGTAATAAAAAAAAGGAACCATAAGACAACTGAAATTGCTATACTAATATCATGCAAAATGGACTTTAAACAAACAAACAAACAAACAAAAAATGTTACCATAGATAAAGAGGGACATTTTATGAAAAAAGAACCCATACATTAGGAGATACAACCATAAACATATATGCACCTAATAACAGAGCTCAAATTACGTTTAAAAATAACCGGCAGAACTGGTTAGAAATAGGTAACTTTACAATAAAAGTTTGAGACTTCAGCAAAAAACTAAGAAAAAGATCAAACTGAAATAAAGGAATTGAAAAACACTATAAACAAAGTGTTTACAACAGACTTCTCTAGTACATTACCCAACAACAGCAGAATACACTATCTTCTCAAGTACCTGTGGAACACATTTTCCAGGATAGACCATATGCTATGCTCTGAGATAGACCATAAACAAGACTCAATAAATTTAAAAGGGTTGAAACCAGGGGCACCTAGGTGGCTGAGTCCTTTACGCATCTGACTTTGGTTCAGGTCGTGATCTCATGGTTTGTGAGTTTTAGCCCTGCATTTGGCTCTCTGCTGTCAGCACAGAGCTGACTTCAAATTCCTTTCTCTCTCAAAAATAAATAAACATTAGGAGCACCTGTGTGGCTCAGTTAGTTGAGCATCCAACTTCAGTTCAGGTCATGATCTCACAGTTCGTGAGTTCGAGCCCCGTGTTGGGCTCTGTGCTGACATGGTGGAGCCTGGACCCCACTTTTGATTTCTGTGTCTCCCTCCCTCTCACTCTCTCTCTCTCTGCCCCTCCTCTGCCCTGCTCTCTCTCTCTCTCTCTCTCTCTCTCTCTCATTCTCTCTCAAAAATAAACATTAAAAAATTAAAAACAAATAAACATTAAAAATAATAAAAATAAAAGGGTTTAAAACCACGCAAATTTTCTTTTCTAATCTAACCACAATGGATCAAATTAAAAATGAAAAACAGAAGGAATTTAGGGATGTTTACAAATATGTGGAAATTAAGAAACACCCTCCTAAATAACCAGTGTATTAAAGAAAAAAAAATCACGAGGAAATTAGAAAATACTTTGAGATGAATGAAAAGGAAAACAAAACTTGCCTAAACTTACTGAATACCATTAAAGCAGTGCTTAAAGGGAAACTTAGAGCCATAAATGCTTATATTAAAAAAGGAAGATCTCTTGATTTTGGCTCAGGTCATGATCCCAGGGGTTAGGATTGAGCCCTGCATTGGGCTCTGCCCTGAGTGTAGAGCCTGCTTAAGATTCTCTCTCTCTCTCTCTCTCTCTCTCTCTCTCTCTCTCTTTCTGTCTTGCTCTCCCTCCTCCATTTGCTCTCTCTCTAAAATAAAATTAAATAAAAAATTTTTTAAAAGGGAGATCTCAAAAAAAGAAAGATCTCATATCAATAGTCTAACTTACCATCCTAAAAAAGTAGAAAATTGCAAATATACTAAATTCAAAACAAGGATAGGGATGGAATAATAAAAATTAGATGAGAAATAAGTGAAATAGAAAACAGAAACACAATAGGGGAAAATCAATGAATCCAAAAACAAGTTCTTTGAAAAGATCAACAAAATTGGCAGACTTCTAGTTAGACTAATCCCACCCTTAGGAAATACTCAAATTACTAAAACTTAGAAATCAAAGAGAAGATATCACTACCAACCTCATGGAAATGAAAAATAATTTCATGGGAATACTGTGAATAATTGCATGCCAATAAATTATGTAACCTAGAAGTAATCATTAAGATATTCAGTGTGGTGGGGCATTAAGCTGGCAATTTGCTCTTACATGATTCAGGAAGGAAAGTTACTTTTACTGCATTTGCAAATTCTGTATATGTGAAATTGTTTACAAAAAGAAAAAGAATTATACCATGTAAGGCTAATATTCACAGCAAGCCTGTTCTTGTAAGAAAGAAGGAATCTCAAAGGTCAAATGTTAATGGTTTACTTTCAATCAGTGGCAAAACTCAATAAAATACAAGTCTCAACATATGTGCAAGCATATGGATGTGTGAATTCATGATTTCAGATTGTAGAGCAGTTTCAGAATCATGTGAAAGACTAAGGTGTGGCTGTTGGATCGGATGACTACAATGAAGTGGAGGTCACTGGAAGTAGGGAAGTCAAGGAACTGAAATGTACAGGCGTTGGAAGAATCAACCGTGAGTGAGACTGTGTGAAATAGTGGCAGGACTTACAGGGCTGAAGAGAAAGACTGAAAATTAGATGCCAAGTCTTCCTTTTAAGGAAATGATTGAGCAGGCAGCTACTATATGAAATGAATGTAGGGACAGAAGGTCTAAGAAAGGACTGAACCTCAAAGAGGTTGGAGAAGTAATGAAGTGGTAGTAAAGAAATAGTAAAGACTCTAACCTTAGTTCACAAGAGATCAAGTTTGACTGGCCTGATTCTGCCATGGATTCGAAATTTTAGGGAAGACTTCATAGCCAAAACTTAAGAGAGTCATATGAAGCTTGGTCTGCAATTGCTATCTGTCAGGAAATCAAATATGAAAACAACATAGTTTTCTGTAATTCTTGCCTGATCTACTTACAAGGGGGAAATAATAGCAGGTAATAGTTGAGTAACAAAGCTCAAACCTATTTATTTTTCACATATGGCATTTGGACTCCAAGATTTGTAATGCCACCAGTGTCATGTTGCATAATAAGTTAATGATATATACTCCATTGTATTATAGCAATGATACAAAAGCAATCTACTTTAAGACAAAGCTTGTGTACACACAAAGATATAGATAATTTTAGATATATTGATAATTATAGACATAGATAATTTACAGTTCAGTTCAGTGATAGAGGGACCTATTTTTCAAGTTACAAAAGAAAGGATCATATATTCTATTCACACAGTTACCTTCTCTACACAGAGGTCATGTAGTAAAGAGGAAAGATAAAACACCACTATTGAGGAGAACTGAGACACTCTGACAAGTTAGAGACACTGAGTAAGCCATTACTTACCTGATTTTAGTTCTCTTGTGAAATGATTTTATTTAAAATTCCTTCACATCTTAAATCTAATTCACTTGTGATTTTATTTTATAACTATTTAGATATATATTTAGTATATGAAGCAAATTGCCTATTACTTTATTCCTTTAATTATAAAATACCATATATATATACATATATATATACATATATATACATATATATTATACAAGGTACACTTGAGAGCATCAAAATGGTTCTATGAAAATATAGTGCAAACTTCTTGTTTTCATTCTTCCTGATTACTAAGCTTGTTTGTCTTTCTCTCTCTGTATAACAACACCCACACACTTAGTGTTAAAGTTTTAGCATACTAGGGGCCCCTGGGTGGCTCAGTGGGTTAAGCATCCAACTTCGGCTCAGGTCATGATCTCGAGGTTCATGAGTTTGAGCCTCCTGTCAGGCTCTGTGCTAACAGCTTGGAGCTTGCTTCGGATTCTGTATCTCATTCTCTCTTTGCCCCTCCCCCACTTGTGTTCTGCCTCTCTCTGTCTCTCAAAAATAAATATTTAAAAAAATATTAAGTCTTAGCATACTAATAGAAGTGGGATATTTTTAGGGGTTTCAATTCCACTAGATAGTGATTATTAGAACTTCTCAATTATTTTTTAGAGGAATGCTTTACTTAGATTACTTTCTAATGCCCCAAGTCACAACAAGATGACAGATATTTGTATTTTTCACTTATTTCTTATACTATCAATCTTATGGAGAGCTGTTACCATGCCTGTTGTTAAATTATAAACATTCAAAGATGGGCATGTACAATCATTGCACACACTTTTTTTTTTTTTTTTACACACACTTTTTTAAGGAGGATAAGGAAATAGTTTGGAATTCAACATTTTTCCTTGGATTAAACAGTACGTAAGCACCTAGCAACTTTGGCAGAAATCCAGCTCATTTTTGCTTTAATGCACCCAAAAGATTTCAAATCAATACTTAGCATTAACGTTTTAATTGAAAATTAACATCACCATAATTGGAAGTGAGGATCAGCATCCTAATGTTTAGGAGAGGGCTACTTGGTTGGGAAGGTCATTACACTGGACAGCACAAACGTTGGAAACGGAAAACACAAATCATTTGTTTCCTTGAGCAAGGACACACAGTAAACACTTGAATTGGTGGTCAACTATAATTTGCTTCTAGAGCCAGCTACTCTGGCACCACTACAGTTTGGATTTATAGCAGAGCACATAAGTAGAGTGACTTTGAAAGCAAAGTATAAAAGAACCAAGAAAAAAAGTTGCTAGTTGTTAAAGATCTACTCCTCATTAAAAGGACTTGAAGATTTCCCCTTCAATCGGAAAGCAAGATGCTCTTATTGCTATTCCCAGCATGCCCCTATGCTGTTTTTCCTAAATAATTACTCCTCCAGGAAACCAATGATATTTGAGTGTGGGTTATCAACAATCCTTTATTTTTTGCCTGGGAATTTCAAACCATTATACGTCCAGGCTGAACAATGCAGACAGTAAGTTTCCTTTCCATTTTGGTTTAAAAAATTTTTTTTAATTGTGTTGTTTTCTATTTGCTTCCAATGTCTTAACAAATTCAAGCCCTTCTCCAAATCCCCCAGAATAAACACAAGGGAAAATCTCTCCACAGTAGGATCCCAGCCCCCACTACCACCATAAGGCACTTCCATTTCAATCACCTCTTTCTTCTTCAGGGATCCAGCGTCCAGTTCAGATTTATCTCCTCAGTAGAGTAGAGGGAATTTGGGGGAAGAGAATTTTCTATAGGAATAGTCAGTCCCTAAATAAGTTCATTTTCTTTCCCCTTTCACTGACAGTGAAAAACTCTGCTCAGAGGGAGTGCCTTTTCCCTATGTGTCACCTGACCCAAGAGAGGACCCTGTCAGTGAGGCGCCCTCCGCTCTGTCCCGCAGACCACAGTCCCCTACCTTCACCCCATTGTCTGTGCAATGTACAGAACTGGAGCGCATTGCAGCGGCCTCGGTACCACTCTCCATGCCTGGCTGGGCCAAAGGCTCCTTTCTTGACTGGGAAGAAGAGCTTTTGTGGAAGCAGAGTTTGAAAAGCCCCAGCACTGTCATAGTCAAGATAACCAACACTATGACCGCTATGCTCACAAGTATGAAGACCACGGTGGAGGAGGAGCCGAAAGCCTGGGGAATGGCAGGGGAAGACGTGGAATTAAACTTGGGAGTCACGCTTCCTGAAGAGGTGATGGCGGCCTTTGAATTAGCTTGAGAGGACATCTGAAGAGTGGACATCGTGCTCTGTGCTCCCCACTGAGGAATCTCGGCAATAGATGTTGCTGAACTGCCTTGTCCAAGGACATGTGGTACCTCCCTTGGCTTTTCAGGTACCCTGGGTGTCCACGTTCTCTTCTGATCGGGGCTGGCTGCAGTGGCTGGCCTCGTGGGCACCTCGGTCCCCTCAGAGACCGGCTGTCCTTCCCCACTGATTACACAAGAGTGTCCGTCTTCCCCCAGCACGAAGCCCGCCGCGCATTCGCAGGCAAAGCCTCCCAAGTCATCTACACAGTTAGAGTGCTCTGCGCATTTGCCAGCACGGAGGTACCTCCCGGGGCAGGGGCAGAGCACAGCCCCGGAGGGTATCCCGTCCCAGCGCGCGCCGACCTCGTCCACGATGCAGGTGGCTGTGATGGAGAGCTGCCCAGGGCAGAGCGCACTCACCTTGGTCCCTGGGGGACTGAAGTCCAGAGCCGCGCTGTACAGCTGGAAGGGCGCACGGTAGCTCAAGTTAGAGGCGGCCCCGGGGCGCGGCGCCGGGCACAAGCCCTCAAACTGGTATTTGCACAAGTAGCCGTTGGCGCGCGAGTGGCATCGCATCTCCTTCCAGCCTGCGGGCTCAACCCCCCGGGTGGCCTGGAGTCCTGCGCAACTCCGAGAAGTGCAGGAGCGTTGAGGCTCCTCCACCCACTGCAGCGTCTCGCTTTCGGACACGCTGACGTCGGGGGAGAGCCAGGAGAAACCCCGCAATGGCTCTTTCTCCAGAGTGCAGTGCGATCGCCCGCGTTCCAGCGCCACCCAGAACAGAAGGTCTTTGGAGCCCCCTCCAGGCCCCGGGCCTGCCCGCAGGAGCGCAAGCACCGCCCGGAGCTCTGCGCCCCCGCTCACCGTGCTGAGCGCCCCGCCGCGCAAACTGCAGGCCTCCTCGGCCGCCAGCCTCTTGATGGTAGCGTGGTGCAGGCTGTAGCAGGCCCCCGAGGCCGAGCAGCCCGCGCGGTCTGCGGTGGGGTGCTCGCTCCGGCCAGGTCGAGGCCAGAACGCCTGCCAGAGGAGGCACAGAGCTAGTGCCAGCCTCATCTTGAAGGCCCTGCGCCCACAGCTGTTCCTAACTTGGATCTGTCCCGCCCGAGGGCGCGGAGCTGTCCCAAGAGCGTGGTCACCGCCCCCTACAGCTGGCTCTCCCCCACTTCCCCCGCCCCATTAACGGCCAAGAATCCCCACCGCCGCCCTGGCTGCAAACAGCCTTCCTTAGGCCCCTACAGGAAATGTGTCCGGAGCTATGCCAGGCCTCTCGCAGCCCTGATTTATTCTGGGGTCGGGGACACAGCTGGTGCGAGAGGTATAGGGAACACAGTCGACCAGGTCAAACACCCTGCTTAGAGCAGGAGAAAAAGAAACAAAGTCGCTACAGGGAAGAAACGTAACGTTTCCCTACCCCCCGTTAGAAAGTTTCAGGAACTCAGATCCCAAAACACTGGTGAACATTAACAGGAAGGACTGGAGACGAGGAACTCGCTCACACCCACCCATTGTGCTTCGTCCAGGACTGTGGAGTTGGCTTCACAACAATGTGTAGACTGCTCCAGTTTTCACGAGGCTCTAGACTGGAGGGGGAAAGAATCTTGTGAGAAATATAAGCATATCCCTTCATCACCAGAGGCAACACTATTTAAGTGCCAATCTCTTTCTGGGCACTGCTTCTCTCTCCTGTCCAAGGAGATTTCTGCACGCTAATTGCTAGACAAAGAATTTATAGAGAGTTCCTTTTGGGTGTTTTCAATGGGTAATACTGCTTCTTCAATCAGAGCTTGTCTTACAGTCTATTTTTTGCTTCTATTTGTTTCTCTTTGAAATGGCCTTATTGGTCGCTCAGGAAAGGAAATGTACTTCTAAGCCTAAGTGGAAAACAATGGCCACAGATCTTAACTGTTGTGTAGTTACCTTTCCTTACCACTGTATTGGTTCATAACTTCTTCTGGCATATATGTTATATAAAAATGAGATCGTGGTCTTATTAATGTTTGGGAACAACTACCCCATGTGTAATTTTATCCTTGAACTATTTTAATATCATTTTCACCTGCGATTGAGTTGCCAATATTTGAATTCTTTTAACGTTTATTTATCATTGAGAGAGAGAGAGAGAGAGAGAGACAAAGCATGAGCATGGGAGGGGCAGAGAAAGGGGGGAAACACAGAATCTGAAGCAGGCTCCAGGCTCTGAGCTGTCAGCACAGAGCCCCACTGGGGCTTGAACTCACAAACCTGGAAATCATGACTTGAGCTGAAGTCAGCGGCTTAACGGACAGAGCCACCCAGGTGCCCCTTGAGTGCCAATATTTGTATTAGTAAGTTGTAAAAGTCCCCTTTAAGGGACACAGGAATTCAATATTCTTTTTTTTTTAATTTTTTTTAACATCTATTTATTATTGAGAGAGCGAAACAGAGCATGAGCATGGGAGGGGCAGACAGAGGAGGAGACACAGAATCCAAAGCAGGCTCCAGGCTCTGAGCTGTCAGCACAGAGCCCGACGTAGGGCTTGAACTCACAAAAATGAGATCATGACCTGAGCCGAAGTCGGACACTTAACTGACTGAGCCACCCAGGTGCCCAATATTCTTTTTTTTTTCAATGTTTATTTTTGAGGGGGGGAAGGGGCAGAGAGAGGGAGATAGAGGATCCAAAGCAGGCTCTGCGCTGTCAGCCAGGAGCCAGATGCAGGTTCGCACTTACCCACCATGCGATCATGATCTGAGCCTAAGTGGGATGCTCAACTGACTACACCACCCAGAAACCCCAAGGGTTCAATATTCCTAAGAAATTAAATTATTTATTACATTACAATGCACATTATATTCTGCAAAAAAATGCCCTATGACTTAAAAATGAGTGAGTCAATTTCTTCAGAGGTCCAGTTTTTTAAAATTATAAACAACTCAATTGGAAGTGGGAAGGAATTAAAGATAAGTAAAGGAAGAAAAGTTTAAACACTTCACTGTGTATGAAAAGATTTTCTTGTTAGCAACATAGGCAATTCTACATCATTTTAGGAGATCTATTATCCATCTTGACTCACAGTGACCAGATACATTGCAACAGAAGCACACAGTTTCCACTAATCTCACTTAACATGCATGATGCTTTTAAATATCTATAATCAGAATGAAAGTTACCATTCCATGAATAATGCATACCACAGTTTTAAACTCACTTTCTTGTGCTAGATTAGATGGTTCAGATTAGTGAGGAGGGGTGGAAAGGAAGTCCTGAGGATCACATCTGTATGTCCTTACTTCTTTCTTACCACTACTCTCACTCTTCTTTTCCTCTTGGAAATTCTATGTGTGTTAACAAGCTATAGTAAACACCATGAATCATCATCACACTTACTTGCTTTTGCTGACTGTGGAGTTTTGCAGCAGGATTTCTCTCCTACCCTCGCTGCTTTCCAATTTAAAGGACATTCATTAGTCCTTCATTTCAGATGTCCATGTCACCTTAAACATGACTTTGCATTTAAATTAAGTGACTTAATGTCTAATGAGAAAGGAACATGAACATCTAGAAATCTAATTGAATGGATTTTAAAAATACTTAATCATGTGGGCCAATTCTATATACCTTTGCAATCAAATGACTGTGTGTCCATAAATGTGTCCATGTAGCGCTATATATTTTAATAAAAGAAAACCTTTTATAAACCTGAGTAGGCAATGGAAATCTCTCAGATATTTTTTAAATCACTTGGGATGAGGTGAAGCTTCTAGAGTGAGAAAGAATGAATGACTGAAAAGCTTATAGCAAATACATGATCTCACTCCTTGGCATTCTGCCTCGGGAGGTGGGATACCAGAAGAGAATATAATGGCCAAAATGACTGGATATCACAGTCCTGGCTATGTCTGCAGTAATGTGAAAGAAGAGTTGCAAAAAAAATAAAATAAAATTATCCCCAAGTAAGACATAGGTCATTTTGTAATTAATTACTTTGTATTGATCTATACACCACTACCATATTTTGAAATGCACAGTATTCTTGAAAAAACTAGAAATGAAGGAATGTTGGAATGTTTTTATTTTAAAATAATGTTTATTAAGATCACAATAAGATACCATTTTACCTCCACTGGATTCCAAATATTTAAAATTCTGATAATGCCAAGTATGGCTCCATAGCTTCTTTCACATGCTACAGATGAGGGCAACAACTCTGGAAAAGCTTGCCACTTTTTTCTTAAAATCAAACATTTACCTCCTCTATACCCCAGTACTTCTATATCCAGGTATATACTCAACAGAAACTCTTGCAACATGTATAAGAGAAGACACATAAAAGGATGTTTATAGCAGCACTGTTCCTACTAACAAACACCAGAACGAATCCAAATGTCCAGCAATAGATGGTAGATAAAATAAACCAAGATACAGTCACTAGATGAATATGGAGGCAACGAAAATGAATACAATGCAACTGCAAGTAACCATACGAATTAATCTTATCAATACAACACTAAGTGACAGAAGTTCCAAAAGATAATACAAAGTCTGACATTCTTTTTGTAAATTAAAAAAAAAAAAAAAACTACTAAATATATGTTTGTGTACGTTTTAGGAAAAAAATAGTTATAATACAGTTATAATACAATGAGATAAAAAGAACAAGGATTATACGATTCTGGGTGGTGGATCCTTAGGATAGGAGAGAAGAAGGGGGTGGACTGTTTGGGATAATGGGTAACAGGATTTGATGTGAGCTGTTGTTAGAGGCTCAGCTTTTGTTTTGGATAGTGACTTTGTGGGTGATCATTCCATTATTAAAAGTAATTAATTAACAAAATAAAAGTGGTTATGTCTGGGTGAATGATGAATGAAATGAATTAAAAATTATAATTAATCTGATTCTGAGCATCTGAGTTTCAAAATGTAAAATAAAAATAAAATCACGATGTTAGTTACATTTTCAAAATATATTTTCCTTTCATCCCCACATTCTTTTTTCAGGTAACACATTTCTAAATTTAAGCCAATTATTAATCAGAAAAAAGCATAATTAATAAAATGTTTTTCCTATGCTTCTAGACTTTTCAGACAATCTATGTTTTATTAGTAAGAATCATGTATGATATTTATTGGTGCATTCATTTAAACAATGCCACCCAAAAAACTAGAGAGAACACATAAGGAAAGTAAATTTAGTCCAATGTTTTCAATTTGATTTAATTTAAAACATCGGAAACAAAAATGAAGATAACATTTCACTAATCACATTTTAAATAATCTCATAAATTTATAAAGTTACTGATCCTCACTGTGTAAGTTCTATAATTGTTGAAATAAAACAACATCTGGGTCTTAGCATATTTTTCAGTTCACTTAAGATATATAAAAATACTGCAGAGAACATTGAGAAGGAGACAACATTCCATTAGGAGAACATGGCATTAAGAAGCTAATCTGAGCTACAGACTAAGAATTGTGAAGATTTATATGCAGCCTTTTAGAACTGTATTGTAATTGTTAGAACTGTAACAAAATGATCAGTGATCAACATTTTTATATTTTTAACTGAGAAAATTTAAAATTTTCTGTCCCAAGTGTCCATGAAACGTTGAACAAATGATAAAATCTGGTAGTTGTATTTGCTGAAAACACATCTAATCGTCATTACGACTTAACCAGGATATATGGTCTGACTCTTAATCCGACAGATCATACAGGCTTATAACGTAAGAAATTCATATATACCTGACTAGATAAAGAGTTCTTTTAGGTAGTGTTGTATTTATGACATCTGCATTCATCTACATATAGTCAGTCATCTCAGAAATGTATGTCACAATGATAGGTACTCTTCTGGATTAGTGAACAACGTGACTAAATACAGAAATAAGAAACTTAAAAAAAACTTCATTCAAACTGCTTTCTAAACAGGCAGTGCTGACCTCATTCCATGTACACTGGAGGTAATATAAAAAAAATTATTCTCCAATGACCATTACAGAATTAGTACACTTCCCCATTGCCAAGTTTATAATCAAGAAATAATGGAGAAATGACTCATGCACACAAAAGGCTTGCTATAATCCAAATGCCTAACAAGTTCTAAAGTATAAATGTTTATCTTACTACTCAGATATTTTTCTCAAGATTGCCTACAGAGCC